CCGAGGCAAAGACAAACGCAAATTTCCTCCTAACTTCTTAAATTTATTTAAAAACGAGTGCTGTTAAAATTTGTGCACTTCCCCTTCTAAACCAGACCATTTGGTTACATCGCACCCCGGGCCAAAATCTTCAGTCCGGCTGTGGCAACCACCACCCTCCCCGATCTTATGTGCTAAACTTGAGAAACATATTGGAAGGTGAATGTGCCAACATACGAAACCAAATTTCTCATTTAAGTTTAAATAATTTGGTGAAAATACCAATGTAGGTTATTAAATAGTTACTTTTGTTCTTAATAAATTAATTGATTTATTATTTGGAGATCCTTGAGTTAGCTTTCCCCCAGCTATTATCCTCCTCGCACTTGGGCGGTGAATTTGGGAAATACGTTGGGTGGTGAATGCCCCACCCGATTGAAACAAGTTCTCGTTTATTCTTAAATGATTTGCTAAAAATACCATTCCAGGTTCTTGGATAGTTACTTGTTGTTGATCAAAAATAAATTAATTGATTTATTATTTGGTGATCGTTGAATTAGATTTACCAGTCATTATCCTCCCAGCACTTGGGTGGTGAACTTAAGAAATACGTTGGGTGGTGAATGCAACACCCTATGGAATCAAAATTCTAATTTATGTTTAAATAATTCGGTAAAAATGCCAATATTACAAGGCTACAAATTAATTTAGTTATTATTTGAGTCACACTTTCCTCGATGAGTCACCTCATCACCACCCAATCCGCCGCCCCTAAATGTTGGTAGACAAAATAAAAAACAAATAACTTATTCAACTTCAAATCGTTAATTTATGTACTTTTATTTCGTGTTCGATAGTTTTTCTTTTGCCTTTTGGATACAAAGATTAATTTTGTTTAGGTTTAAATCACGGTCCAGTGATTGCAGGGGTTGTGGGAGCTCAAAAGCCTCAATATGATATATGGGGCAATACAGTTAATGTTGCTTCAAGGATGGACTCATGCGGAATTATCGGCAGGATCCAGGTGACAGAAGACACAGCTAAAATTTTAATGAATGCTGGTTATTCGTGTGAATGTAGGGGCCCTATATATGTAAAAGGAAAGGGCACATTGACCACATATTTCGTTAAAACACCATTCGATGATAAATAAATATTCAAAATATAAATGCTATTGTTGTAATTACAATGGAAACGAAAATTCGGTAAATATTCTGACCACACTGTAGATCGAAAGCAAAGTAAGGAATAATTACAGTATGTCACACAATCTCACAAAATGTTCTAAATATTTTTTTACGTAACTGAGATGAAACTAGATTTATATATTTATGAAATGAGTGAGTAAATTCTTATGGATCATGTGTGGTAAATATATAAAACATACGGCTGTGAATATAAAACAAAAAGAATGTAATTGATAGATGAAATTAATTTATATAAATACTCAAACACGAATCAGTGCTAAAAACGTGTATATGTATATAATCGTGGCAAAGAAGTTCAAAAATTTGATGTTGAAGATTTTTAAGAGTTATTCAAGATTCAAAATTATGTTACATATAATAAAAATTATAGCAAACGTTGGTAATCAGTCACTGAAGAGGACCTTCCACCCTACCTTCCGGCTTTGTGCTAGAGTTTTGGTTTAAAATTAATCAGCTTGAAAAAGGTACAGTGCGCCGAAACAACTCTGAAAGTTATATAAAGTTTAATAACAAAAACTTATCAACATTTTTTGTTATTATTGTTATTATATTTATCAAACAAAGGTATTTTCATACACATTCGCAATCTATTATGGTACCTAATACTTATAGGGGTCGTTAATAAAATACGTTCGCAAATTAGGTGTAGAGAGGGGTATTACTTTGATGACGAGATATGACAAGGGTGAGGGGAGGGCGTCTAAGGAAATGTGACGTCACATTTTCATCAATTTTACTTTAATGTTTTTCTTAACTTGGCAGGTTTTAAGATTTTTTATTATGATAGAAAGTCGCTCATTACTATTCTTAATCGCAAGGGGGTAAATTAGCTTATTTTGTTTTGTAGTATTTGTTAAGGGGGTCCCTGAAAGTATGACTTAGCGTGATGAAGGGGGAGGGTGGGGTCCAAGAAGGTGAAATACTGACTGACGTATTTTATGGAGACCCCTTATTATTATTGTTAACTATTTCTTTTTATAATGCCAATAATTCTTAACGATACAGTTAAATTTAAATAAAAAAAAAAGTTTGACTAGGTAGAATTCGAACCTACTACAACACATACGTGTTCGAATCTGGTTGGTGGCATATAATGTAGAGTGGGTTATTTTTTTTTTTCTTTGACATCACATNATAAAACTGTTACATTATAAACTAATATTTAATAAAACTGATCTCATGTAAGTATTTAACATTACCTACATGTTTCTCTGTACCAAATAAGACGCACATTCATGATTTTTATTTTACATGTTTTATTCCTATAGTCAAACATAATCGTATTTTATAATTGCAAACCATTATCATGTTACAATAATTACAATATAAGTGTGTACGTTGTAATTCAATTTAGACATATCTCTTACGTGTTATTACACTTATTAGTAGAATAGGTTTAGTCAAATTAAAAAATTAATGAGTAATAAACTATTTTTTTCATTTTAATGTGTTGTTATTCAGAACATGTTAAACGAATTTTTTCAAGTTTCAACCCCAATTTTTCCTCATCTTTTGTATAATGTTGATCTTTTCTCTAATATTATCTCATCATTTAATATCCCATTTATTCTCTTGTGTTATTTAAATTTATATTTTCCATTTTTTAATTGAATTTGCATATTTAACTTTATTTGAGTAAACTTACAATAAATTAAAGCATTATTTTTTATTTGGGCACTTAATTAGCAATTAGATATTGATTGCATTTATTTTTGCTAATTTTTCTGTTCAAATATATTCAATTTTAAAATTTCCACACATTTCAAATTCAAAACACAAGAGTACCATTCGTATTTGTTCGTGTCTTTTCGTTAGATATTCGTTTATTTCCATATTCGTAATGGTCTTTGAACAGACTGAACCCTTTAGCCACTTATAGGTAAGTATATAACAGAATAATTAATTAATTAAAAAACTGAAAATATATACCCAATACCTCCAAAACCAAAGGAATTTCATTATGCAATAAATAAATCAGCCAAAGTTAATTTTTGTTTGCTATAAAGAAATTAGCATAATAAATGTGTTATAACAAAATACAACAACATATTATCTAATGTTATACTCAAATGTTTTAAAACAAATTCATCGTTTAAGGATCATCAGATTATCACTAATAAATGAAAGACAAAATGCTAGCGTTAGTAGTCAACTATTTATTAATTCTGAAAGTTTACAATTTTATTACAAGCTTTAACGCTCATTTATAATTAAATAAATAGACTATTTGGCTCTCTTGTGCTATAAGTATGTTTCTTTTTTTATTCAATTCGTTAAACAAATAAGTAAATCAAGATATAAATATTCCAAATATAATTACTTTAATTTCGCCCAACTACGTTAACAAGGTTGGCTGTGAAATCCAATTTTACGTTCTCGTTACTGATTGGCCGACAGGGAATAGTCTTTCCAAGTGACTCTGTTGTTAGAGAATAGTTATTCTCGAAATTATCTTCAAATTTTTGGAAATTTCTTATAGTAAAACAGAAAAGACCTAAAAAATTTTTATCAAAACGCGTTCTTTTAATAGTCCATTACATAAGGTATGTACTTGTTCATTTCAATCGGAAAGGATTTTTGTTATTTTTTAAGATAAAGTTTCAATAACTTAACCAACACCCTATTAAACATTAAAAATGCGAAAAACAAACGAGTTAGCAAAGTAAATTCGTTGGTTTATACAAAAGAACACAATTGTAAGGATTTTTTCCATATATTTGTGGGTATTAAAATGATAATTAAAACTTTTGATTCCTGGACCTCTTCGTAATGCTTTCGATACAAATTCAACCAAGCTGCAAGCATTCAGTTGTAGAAATCTTTTATAAATACAATCACATCTGTCTCACAGTCAATGTTTTGCTGATAAGAAGTTAGGATTTTGTAAAATTGTTTATTTCAACAAAAACAGGAAGTAGGTATATGTTTGTTACTTTCTGTTTCGCAAGTACTTGCATTCTATGAAACTAAATCGTACAAGGGAGAATATTTAGCTAATGAAAGTATTCCAACATCCAACTGTTGAAATAGTTTATAAAATAACTAGTTATTTTGTTTTGGTACCTCTTAAACAATCGAAATGTTATCTCAGCTGTAAAAACGATAATTTGTTACTAATTTCCCCTATGTTATCGTATTTTATACATTTCTAAGAAACTTTCCCTATTTTTACAGTAAGTGGAATGAAAATTAGACTTCTTCGAGCCAATGTCAATATCTACACAAATCAATTAGAACGAGTCAATTGATACGGATCTACTTGTTAGAACATCCTTCAATACAAACGAAAGGAGACTTTCTAGCATCTTTACTGTTGATGCTTCCATATGCTTTCATCCCTCATAGAAGGTAGGAGCTATATACAATTAATAATTTTAAATAAAACAGGAAATTTATGCTTCCTTTTAACTTTAAATGGAATTTGATAAATAGACTGTTTTTACATTCAAATAATAATTGAACTAGTTATTTAAATGTTTTTGGAGATCACTTACTTTATTACTTTTTCATTTGTTTTTGAACTTTTGTTATTTAAACAAATGAACAACATAATTGTAAATAACTACATAAAAAAGCCAAACATTCAAGGAAACTTAATTAGTTATTTTGGATTTAGAAAAACTGTTACTTTTATTTACCATAAAGTTGCCTGTAGGTATTTTTTGCTAAGGATTCGCAATCACCTTCATTGGGGGTTGTTTATAGGGCACTTACTGCATAGTTCATGTGATCTGAAAAAAAGTTAAATGCACTTAAAAGTTTAGTAAAGGTTCAAAAATGATAATTTGTTGTTCATTTCTATATTTCAAAATTTTCGCAGTCACATTCTCAAAAAACGACATTGAAAATCATGTTTAATGATTCTCTTTGATTGGGTAGTCATAAATTATATGAGGTACCAGTATTACTAAATTAACAGTCAAGTAAATTAAAGCAATAAACATAAGTTTTAATACAATGAACTCTTTTTAATCTATCAGTGTTTGGTGTGTTTTTCTTTACATAAAGCACCTTAAAATACTATGCTACCCTTAACTAACAAAAACTCACCGTGAAATTTATATTAACTCTCCCTTCTTTCCACAGCACCCTGGCCACATTTCAGAGTTGCTTCAGTCACAGTATCGACATCATCGTTCCATTATTAACTAAAATGGTTTTATTGTTTAATAAATTTTATGGGACCATATTAATGGATGAAAGCAAAACTATGAAAACCTCACAGCCCCCAGCCCACACCCCATAACTACAGTTGCAATATCAGAAATTATTAATGTAAGTAAAGAAAATGGATTCGATATACTCACACAGTTTGTAAAAAGTGTTTGAAATTAATTTCTGCTAATTTCCAACAATCTGGCGTTGCTTTTGTGTTTAAAAACAAAACATATTTTATTGTGACTAAATTGACAAATTGACAAAATCAAATTCCAAATGAGTGACCTCTTCTGGGATTGCACTGAAAAGTTTACAGGTTGCTTACAAAATAAGTGAAGCTAAAAATGTACAGGGGTCACTACTCAACCATAAATTTAAATAGATACAGGGTGTTTCCTGTATGTAATTTAAAGTAATTTTTCAAACATACAGCAACTGATAGATGATAGTTTGCAAATATATATATTATCTCAATCAATGAAAAGCAGAAACTGAAGGCTTTTTCTGGGTTATTTCAGAATATAATAATGTAAAGAAAGAAGAATTCCGGAAGGGGGGAAGAGGTCCTCAAGAGATGAATATGAAGACCCATTAACGAAGAAGACCTTGCAGATACCTAGGGACCTACCGTTATCCTGGACCAGCAGCCTTGATGGATGGAAGCAGTTTTTGGGTTTAATACAGGAAAAACTAACTTACAAATTATTGCTAACTGTACTAACTTGTGGTTCTTTATCTTTTTTCAGATCCAACGAAATTTATTATATTCGAATCGTTAAAGTGCCTTTCAATGAAATTATTTTCGCGAAAAGTTGGTGACGTTCGTGTTCGGTAGTGAAGTGAAGTGTGAGTGTTTGTGTATGTGTTATGGATAGTTATGGAATGGTATGGTCGATGATTGACCCCCCCACCCACCCACCACCCAGTGTGTATGGTATCCCCCCCTCCCAGAGTCAGCTTGGTGAGGATGAGGACCCTGGACATCCGACGCTGGATAGACCAAGGTTTCGGTGAACCCTGCCAAGGTCTAGCCGACGCCTAAAAGTAAGTCACTAATGAATTTTGTTTCAAATAGACCTGAGTGACAAGTTTTTATATTTCCATTTCCATTTTTTGATTTTGATTATTTTTGGGGCTTGTTTGATTTTTGTGCCCAATAAGGTGAGTTACAAACTGTAACTTAGCGTATTATTGGGCTCCTCTGGTGGTCCATTATCCAACTTGATCGTTCCGCTTGCTAGGGACCGACGTATGCAGGTGCTGCGCCTGTGACGTCAAACTGTGATTCTCATTTGGGTTTTTTATGATTATTAACTGCTGGTTTAGGTCCTCTATATTATGCATCTATATTTGTTGTTAATTTTCGATGAGCCGATGAAGATGGAGAATATGTAAAATTGGGGTTTTGTCCACGCAGTCCTTTGGGTTTTGTGTTCCACATACATATACACCATATACACATATTTTTACACATTTATGTATTTTATGTATGTACCTGTATGTTTACTTGTCACTCGCTGGGTCTATTTGATATTTTTTTCAGCTAGTGTGCAGCTAAATACCATCAGTGTAGTGAGGATGATGGTATTGCTGAAGCGTCAAGTGTTAGCGTTAAGGTATAATGGTGTTATACCTCTTTTGGCATAACAGTGGCGGTTCGCGATTCGATTTAGAGTTGGCGCCAAGTAAATTTTAGGAACTTTCATAAATATTNTTCAGCGTGGTTTTTAACAAGTACTTGTAATTAATGCATTTAAATCATAAGAATGTATATACTTCAGTGAAACTTTAGCGATAAAAAGTAAATTGGAGGGCCACTGCACTGTCCTCGCCTGCTACTTGGGCGGCCCAGGTTCGATGGGATAGAAGTCCGGTCTATATTGGGTGAATCTTCAATTATATTTGACGACTGTTTGATTGAAATAGTATATTATTATATTTCTTTTACAAAGTTTACAAAGAAATAATAACAACAACATAATAATAATGATAAGTACATCACTTTTGAGCTACTAATTTACAATTTTCATCGAAACCACGTTCCTGGTGAAAAGAAACTAATCTACACAAGATAAATAAAACAACAACAGACTTCCATACAATATATTGCACTTTTTTCGTTTTTATTATTCTGATCGTCACTGGTGCTTATTTTGGTAGCATATTATTACTTGCTTCATACTTGTTGTTATCACCTAAGAAGCTTCAAGAGTGATATCGAAATAAGCAACCATTCAATTGATTTTTAAATAATTAATCAATATCGTCTTATATTCGTTTCATTCCCAAACCCTTTGTAAATTTGATATTTAACTTTTTCCTGTTGCGGTTGGTTATAAGCGTTCGTCCAATGGGCACACGAGTGCCTAAAATTGCCGCCACTGTTTCTGTTACACATTTACATTTTTAATAGAACACAACCACATCACACAACACACTCCATTTAAAATATTCTCAATTTACATTATCACTTTAATTTTTTCAACTATCAAAATTTATTTATTTTAATCATCCCTCAATTTCAAAATCTAATTTCTTCCAAAACACGTTAAATTTATGAAGTAGTTTTATCATTTCCTCTACTACTCAAAGTACATAAAAATAATTAAATTTAAAATCAGTCAAGGAGTTTACATATATTTATCACAATCTAAACACAATAATATCTCAATAATAATAAGTAATGAAGTAAGTACAATACTACCACCCCACCAGCGGGTTCACAATAAATTATTATTTTTACCTTTTACTAACCTATTTCTGTTTTTGTTTCAGCATGAACGGTAAGTGAAGTACCTTACATACAACCAAATTTTTTAAAAGATGATACTAACCTTCCCACTTATTTTCTTTTTCAGATTTCCATGGGCCATTGTCCTTTTCTCCTTTTTTACCAATTATTCTTTCTCTTCTCTCTTCAGAAGAGAATGGATACCACACAAAGACAACAAACATTCTCACACAATTCGTTAAAGTCGCGATTGGAGTTATTTCTCTTTTGAATTTCCTTACGTTATTGTTTATTTGATGTGTTTGCTGATTAATCCAAATATTTATTCTAAATCTACTTTAAAATTCCAAAGTCGTGTTTCTGTTGTCCCAAGGGTCGGTTTCGTTCCAGGTTACTAGGTAATTGTTGTGAATCTGGGGCAACAGTCTGCTCGTATCATAAAAATATATTGGAGGGTACTTTCTGCGCTATGTTATATTTATATTTATATTAATACGTATTATTAACGGTCGCTTGTAACGCGGATGATTCGGGTTCGCTTTCCGACCGGGTGTAAAACTTTTTCTCATAAGTTAAATAATAATATTATCATGTGTAGGTAACCCACTCATCAGGAGTGGTTTATAGTGGGTTGCCGATACATAAAAGCCATAATTCTCTAGAATTAACTTACATTTTAGAATGGAATCTTTGTAGAACAGGAACAGGACTCTCCCAATAACTAGCTTCCGTAAGGTCAGAAGATAAAGAGTAGCTACGAAACGATAGAAGGCGAAGTAAGAAGAACGAAGAAGCGATTTAGTTTTAATTAATTGTTCATATAGGCCTAAGCCCAAGATGTTTTATTACGAGACAGTATACGTATTATATGCGTCAAGAGAAGAAAGTACGGTATTTCTTCCCGGATGTGACTTGCCACTTCAGGAAGGGATGCCGTGTACTTTCTTTTTTTACGAATTTTTCCTGATTTCATGGACGAGAATGTAGAAAAATATTTTAACTTATCCACTTGGAAACCACTCCTTATAAGTAGTAAACGCGATTTCTTACCTAGAAGGGAATATTGCGCTTTCGTCCCTGGAATCTGAGAAAAATTTCATATTTTCTTTAAAGGTATGGTTGAAAATATTTTGTTTCAATGTCGACAACACGCGATATCTCGTAGAATCAATATCTTATATCGATTGCGTACAATATTCCGGGTAATGGGGTGTTGGGTATTATTTTTTAATAAATTCAAGTTATCGCAATAGAAAGTGAAACTCACTATCACCTTCTTATTAGTGGTTTTCCCTTTCGCATCCGGTCAAATGTGATAACGAAGAAAGGGTCATTAGTGTTAGTGCTAGAAGATTAGGTATTCGACTGAGGGAAGAAGGTAAAATCCTTTCCGGATAAGGAGTAAGTTCGATTTTCTATTCGGGAAGGAACGTTACGTTTCCCTCCTGGAATTGGAGAACAATTTTATATTCTCTGTAGAGGTATGGTAGAAAATATTTTGGTTGAGTATCGACCACACGCGATATCTGGTATCATTAAAATATCTTACATCGATTGCGTATAATATTCCGGGTAATGGAGTGTTGGATTTTATGTTTTAATAAATCCAAATTACCGCAAAAGAAAGTGAAACCCACTATTTATCTTATTAGTGGTTTTCCCTTTCGCGTTCGGCGAAATATGATATCGAAGAGAAGTGAATTAGTGCTGGTGTTAGTGATAGAAGGTTAATACCATTGCTGAGATATACAAGTCAATAAAGTAATGATGTCTTAAGTATTATTATTACAATCTGAAAAAGATTTTTCATATATGAATTTTGTTCTTTTTTATCTTATGATTAAGAAGTTTCAGGAATGGGAGTCAGAACGGTAGCTATATGGAGCTCATAATGATTCTTGTGAAGACAGTAGTCCTGTTGACCATGACTGGGTATTTATATCTATTTTGACAATCTTCCAAGCCCTTTCTTAACGTAGGTATATAACATATTCTTTTCTATCTGCAAATACATTTCCTTTTGTACGTACAAATGTTTATCCTTTTTTGGGTACCGATAAAAACAAATTTTACATTCTTCTTTAAGAAACACATAGGTATTTTCTTATAATTGGTCCTAGACAAGCAGATATGAAGAAAATAGCGAATAAATACTCCTAGACGATCCCCGTGAAGCACAGACCTTTTTCAGAGTTTAGTGACCTTACTCACCCAAACCGATGATTTTCCTTAAATCCCATATCCGGGGTATTCGTCCCAACTGTTACTCGTTATATCTTTGAATCACCCCCCTTCTTATTTACCCTCCCCCTCCCTACTGTCTACCACAAAAGAGGAATTACATTGTCCCCCTCTCCCTTCCGAATACTAAAAAAGAAGAATTTTATTGAGGGACAACGCTGACGGGGGACGTGACTATGAATGTCGGATGAAATGGATAATGTGAGGATACGACAAAGTTCTTTTGTGAACGAATTATGGTCGGTTTAGAGGATAAATCGATCTCAATTAAAATCAAAATAATCAAAGGTACAATATTGTTATTTTATGTATGTATTTCTTTCCAAGTCGGACTGGATGTTTTAGATTATTATTTCATGCCGTTTTGCCTGAACGAAAATTAATTTTTGCAAGTCTTTATTAGTGATTAAAAATAAATGGAAAAGATATATATAGGTATTAAAAAGGGAATTTTTAATGTTTTTTAATAGTTTTTGGTTTCCCATCTTTAAGTTATGTTTAAATATCTGAATAGCTTTATTATCAAAATAATTTGTTTTATCGTCCAATAGTTAGGAGTATATTACCAGGAATGATAAAAATCACAAATTAAATATTTTTGACCAATCATAGAAAGCATGATTGGGATATGACGAAGTTAGGTTATATGTAGATACAAACGTCAAAAATTATACAAAAATTATTTAATTTTTAAGAAAACTTTTATTTAAACTTAAAAGGATAACGAATAAATTACTAACCTTTATTAATAATTTGGTTGGGTAGGAAAATAAACCCTGTGCAGTGTGCAGTTATGTACTACATACCTAATTAGTTAAATTAATATCAATTAATATTAATATTGATGTGATATATCCACCAATTTATTTCAGTGCAAGATAATCCAGTAAAGTGTATGAACCATCAATAACTAGAAAAAATGAGGGATACTAATTTAGTAAAAATAGCTGTGGAATTGCCCAACCAACTTCCTCAGTTCAGGGATATGAATCAACAACACCCTTTGAGTGGGATAATTCAGGAGCTTTGCAATGCCTGGAATTTAACTGATCCTGAACAGTATGCTTTACAATTTAATGATGTCAATAATAAAAAATATATTACTGAAAAAAATCGCAATGAAATTAAAAATGGATCTGTTTTGCGTCTTGAATTTTCACCCTCAAAGACAGCTCAAGATATTTTACATAAACTCAACATGGGAACATCAGAGGACAAATCACAAGCTTTAATAAAGTTATGTAACTTAAGCTCTGATATAACATTTGCTCTAGACTTCATTAATAAGCAAGGATTGGCATTGATAATCAGACAAATAGAGAATACCAAGGGTGAAGACAGCAACATACTTACACAGAGTCTTTTGTCATTTGTTGAGTTGATGGAACATGGAATAGTGTCGTGGGATATTTTAGAGAGTAATTTCATCACAAGAATTGCTGGTTTAGTGAATTCAAAACAAGAACATCAGATAACTGAAGCTGCTTTATCGATATTGGAAAATGTTGTGTTGAATAGCACAGAAGGATATGGACAGGTAACTTTTAAGTATTTATATCATGATATTTATATTATTGTACTTAAATTTTCAAACTATAGACCTTGACATTCTTTAGAAAGTCTTTATCAGAAATCTAATACTTTGTTATGAATAGTTGGTGTATATCAGTAATTGTTTAAGGTGGAACGTGAGATACCGATATCGTCACTTATTACGCATTTACAATCCTCAGCAGTGGTGCAACAAAATGCTGTTGCTTTAATTAATGCTCTATTAATAAAAGCTGACCAGTCTAAGCGTAGAAGTATGGCTGCGATTTTGGCATCAAAGCAAGTAAGGACTACAATCCAGGGTTACATAATTGACAAGGGTGTAGCTGAGGGAGCTGAAATGGCCCATCAACTTTACGTATTGCAGACATTAACTTTAGGGCTTTTGGAACAGAGAATGATGACCAAAATGGATCCTCAGGTACAGAAGAAATACTTTTTTTTTTATAATGAATAAAAAGAGTCAGAGTAGGATTGTAAATAATTTATAACAACAAATAATTCAATTTTTCTGGTAAGCTGTTGAATAAACATTAATAAAAATGGATATAAAAATAAAAATTAGAGGTAATTGAACAGGAAAAACAATAAATAAAGATTCAAATATATTAAACCATTTATTATTAATTTTTTGTTAATGTACCGATTTATTCTAGGACCAAGAAAGTCATGATAAAATTAAGGAGTTACGTAGAATAGCCTTTGACAGTGAAGGGGCAAGCAATGCAAAAGGTCCTTCAGGTTTTACTAGAGACTACAAAAAATTGGGTTTCAAAAACGATATCAATCCTGCCTTAGACTTCATAGAAACTCCCCCGGGACTTCTGGCGCTTGATTGCATGATATATTTTGCCAGGATATATCCAGATTGCTACACAAAATTGGTCTTAGAAAACAGTTGCAGGGCTGATGAACACGAATGTCCCTTCGGAAGAGCGAGCGTGGAATTGGTCAGAATTCTCTGTGAACTTTTAACCATTGGAGAAACTCCTTCAGAACAAGGACAAGCGTTTCAACCTCTTTTTTTCACTCACGATCATCCTTTCGAAGAATGTTTTTCCATTTGTATAGTTCTTTTGAATAAAACATGGAAGGAGATGCGAGCCACATCTGAAGACTTTGAAAAAGTTGCCAGTGTGGTGCGAGAACAAATCCTAAGAGCCCTAGAAACGTCTCCTTCTTCTTTGGAAAAGTTAAGGGCGAAGTTACAATTATTAACGTATAGCGAGATAACAGCCCTTTGGCAACAGGAGAGAACTTCACGCGAGGTGTGGGAATCCCACGCCAGACCCATTGTGGAACTGCGTGAACAGATAACCCCTGAAATAATGGGTTTAATCAGACAACAGAGATTGGCTTTTATGGTGGAAGGAACAAGATTTACCAAGTATTCCACTAGAGGTCAAAGAGTGAAGGATAAATTTTGGTTTATGCGGCTTTCACCAAATCATAAAGCACTTCATTATGGAGATTGTGACGAAAAAAGTGCACCAACTATCGAAGAATTAACTTCTAAAATATCGGTATCTGATATAAGAGCTCTATCCGTTGGAAAAGAATGTCCTCATATGAGAGGAAAGAAGTCGTCGCATCATTTAGCCTTTTCTTTGGCCCTTGAAGGAGTTGATTTACAGTCTCTAGATTGCGTAGCCCCTGACGAATTAACTTTGGCCTATTGGACTGATGGGATCAACGCCCTTATAGGTCAGAGAATGCAGAGTAAAGAAACTGAAAAAGATCTGGATATTTTGCTCTCCATGGAAATTAAATTAAGACTTTTGGACGCTGAAGGAATTACTATCCCACAAGATCCTCCTCCCGTTCCTGCTGATCCTCCCAATTACCATTTTTGCTACGATTTAAAGTAAATCGTTTTATCAGATATACATTTTTATAAAGTTTTTGTCGATAGATATATCCCATTACTCAAAAATTTCAGTCTACTTCATGGTTCGTAATGCGAACGAATTCTTTGGATTTTTAAAACAAAAGTATTGGAAGTAATTATTCGTGCTAATCCATAATACATGGTTTTTAATTAACTTTTGCGCAATGCTTTCAAAGGAAAACTCAATTTATTCGCAGCTACAATCTATTGAATCTCTACTAAAAGACTGACATCATTATACAAAATTTCTTTTTGAATTTTTTTAAATTTTCATTCAAATGTTCTCGTAAATTTTATTATATAATTATTTTTTACATCTTGCATGTTTTTTTATGCTTTTGTGCTGTCACAATATATCAGGTTATTAATTAGTCATTTTTAATGTAATTTTTAGGATTATTATACATTATGTATTAGGTAATTTAGTATAGTATTGATACTCATGCATGAAAGGTAATATCATTAATTTTATATACTTATTTATATTATCATATAGTCATTACGTTTTTATGCTCCTACGTTTACCTCCTAAAGAATATTGGATCTATTTGTTAATGGTTGTAATCCTATGTTTTTAGTTTGAATTTTTTTCTACACATGTCTGACCATTTTATTAAGTTGTGAGAGCTACCAAAGCCGTACTATTTTTTTATTAATGTCGTTTTTAAATCAAGGTTCTATACAATTTTACTAGTAGTGTGTACGAATTTTGTCTAATAAAATTCTTAAAACCTATATTGTTTTATTCAGCGTGGTTTTTAACAAGTACTTGTAATTAATGCATTTAAATCATAAGAATGTATATACTTCAGTGAAACTTTAGCGATAAAAAGTAAATTGGAGGGCCACTGCACTGTCCTCGCCTGCTACTTGGGCGGCCCAGGTTCGATGGGATAGAAGTCCGGTCTATATTGGGTGAATCTTCAATTATATTTGACGACTGTTTGATTGAAATAGTATATTATTATATTTCTTTTACAAAGTTTACAAAGAAATAATAACAACAACATAATAATAATGATAAGTACATCACTTTTGAGCTACTAATTTACAATTTTCATCGAAACCACGTTCCTGGTGAAAAGAAACTAATCTACACAAGATAAATAAAACAACAACAGACTTCCATACAATATATTGCACTTTTTTCGTTTTTATTATTCTGATCGTCACTGGTGCTTATTTTGGTAGCATATTATTACTTGCTTCATACTTGTTGTTATCACCTAAGAAGCTTCAAGAGTGATATCGAAATAAGCAACCATTCAATTGATTTTTAAATAATTAATCAATATCGTCTTATATTCGTTTCATTCCCAAACCCATTTGCCACTCACCAACAAAAATAACTTGAACAAAAAGCAACTTTCATTTTCTATCGATTTGTTATGATTATTTTAATTTAACGTGAGTTTTAAGGCACCAAATGAAAACGAAAGAAAAAAAATAAATTCGATGGGCTTCAAATAACCTTCGGAGGCGTTCCATCACGTCTGGAGGGATTCACACTTTAGTCAGTGACCTGATATCGGTCTCAGCTATTCAAATGGTGCTGATACTGGATCTGCTGATGAGCACTGGGATAGTCCATGAGCAATACCTGAGATTCTGGCTGAGATTGGCTGTCGGAATTGTTTGTATCAATTGGCTCCATATCGTATTTGACGCCCCTTTTAAATCGACCATATAGCGATGAATATGGTAAATTATAATGTATCGCTGCCTGGTTAATTGACATATGACCTAATCTATAATAAAATTAAACAAATTAATTCTCTCATCATCAAGTTATTAGCTGTTTATACCTGACAGCCTCCAGTGCTTCACCCATAGCATCCTCAGACCAAGGAGTGGGATTAGACCTGGATAATTCTATTCCTTCTCTTTTACACCTGCCGTATAAAGTTCCTGTTGGAATTCCGAATTCTGTTGAAGCCTTTTGAACGGATGATTGTCCCGTCCTAATAGATTCCAAAGCTTTTTCTAAGTCTTCTTGAGTCCATGTTGTTGGAGCTGCATTAAAAGGGGCTGCTAATTTAATTCCCTCCCTCCTAGCTATCTTGTAAAGGGTACTGCTAGGGATACCTAAAAATAATTCAGTTTTACAGTTAATGTAGGGTGGTGGATGTACTAGTTTTTGAGAAAGTTTACCGTATGCTTTACTAGCTTTATTCGCTGAAATAGTTCCCGTTCTGAGTGCTTCTAGTGCGGAATTTAAATTTTCCTCAGTCCATGATTTCGTGGGACCTTCTTTCTTTGGGGTATCTATCCCTAATCGGTGCGCCCTTTGCCATAAAGTCGTCGATGGAATACCATACGTTGCTGAAGCCTAAAGAGAAAAATAACTGACAATCTTCTTTATCTAATACATTCTTTTATATTATGTATACCTTTGTAAGGCTCATGTTATGATTTCTAAGAGCATCTAATGCTAATTCCATATCTTCCTGAGTCCAGGTTTTCGGCCCTCCACCGTGAGACCTTCCTGTAGGAGTATCTTGATCATTAATTCTAAGTTGAGAATACCCGTTACTATTATTGTGATCTGTACAAATAAGCGTATTTTTACAGGGATGTCAAAGTTTGATAAATATATATAAATTTACCTCCTGATACCATTCCACTCATGTCAGGAGTTACCATCATGGAATGAGGGCCCCTTTCGGCGTCTTCATAACTGTCTAATGAATGATCTGGTTCTGAAAGTTGTGAAGAATCTAAATCCATCATTTCATGTTTATAGGATCGTAGGGTTTCAAATTTAATACTAGTTTCTTTTTTTATATCCTCATATTTAATATGCGAATCTAGAAAGAAAAAGGGGTAAATATTATCCTTCAAAAAACTGTGAATTGTTAATAAATAAAATATTCCATGAATCAGGTACCTGATATATCGGTTCGATGAGTTGAGAGTAGCGATCTGGTGGGAGAATGGTCTTGCATGTCGACATGTCCAACAGGAATTGCTGTCGGGGCAGGAGGTTCCGGAGGGAATTCATCATTGTCATACAACTGGGAGAAAAATGCCTAGATTTTAGCAGTAAATGTTAGAGATTGTTAGTACAATAAATGACATGAATATTGTTACAGAAGAATAATAACTAATCCTCAACAAAAAATGACAATATGCAATTTAGTTTTTGATTCATTTTAACTACACATATAGGCAAATTTTTCTATTAATGAAACTATTTTTAATTCCTCAAAATTTCACCGTTTTGAGGCCTCCCTCCCCCTAAGTCGCAATTTCAGAAACCGTCCTAACAAATATAACGTCACAAAAGCTAGTCCACCCTTCCTCCTATAAACGATTTCTGGTGATTAAAATAGCAATGAGAATGACTTTCTATCGTAATGAAAAATTTTAAGATTTCCTAAGTTACGAAAAACATTAAAATAAATTGATGAACGGGGAACGTCACATTTCCTTAGATTCCTCCTAGATCTTGTCATAACTTGTCTTGCTAAGCAATACCCCTCCCTCCTTGTTATTTGCGAAATATATTTTATAAACGACCTCTAAGGTAGGATGCTTCTTAATGCTTTTTTAATTTATAAAAAAGCCAATCTATTTATGGTGCTGATTTTATTAGATAAGATACGTATTTATCATAAATTTGGAAAATTTTGGTGAAATTGAAGGATTAAAAGATACTGATACAGACTTCTCGCATTAGTAGATAAAATGATATCGAATTATTTTCTTTTTCTGGTCTTATTATAGTACATATGTATTTACTTGAAAACTCAAGATAACGCAACTAATAGGTACTTGCATATTACTTTTACAAAAAATATATATATTTTTGCATAGTTTATTATCCTAGCAAATATTTTAAAAAATTATGTAGGTACTTTATAAAAAACGATTACTGTTTTAAAATATGATTGGAAAATTATGAAGTGATTTATTAAAATGTTGATAAATGATAAGATTGTCTAGAGTCAATAAATAATACAGAAATGCAATTTTAAAAGTACGAAAGTTTTGATGTATAAATGATAATACCTGTCCTTCAAGAAGACCATGACTGCTCATATTTGTTTTATTTTGGTTTTGTACTGGTTTCTTTCTCTTTGGTTCTTCATCAACAACTAAAAGGCCATCGCTATCTTCGTCTGTCGAATTATTTCGTCGTTCTGAGCATCTTTCTTCCACAACACTTTCGCCTATATCTAAACTATCTTGATACTCTCTTTCTATATCACAGTCTTGACTTCTACTGATTTCTTCTAACTTTATGTGTTTTGGTGACGAGATTTTTCTTAATTTACTTCGATCTTTTGATAAAACTGGTAGCGTGTGAACAGAGTTTTCTTTGTCCTTATTATCCTCCGACTCACATAAACCCTTTATTTTTAACTGGTCAGCGGTCTTCAGCAATGACTGAAACAAAATTGATTTTTTGAAAATCGTATTTACACGTTATTCCCTAATATAAACATACGATCCTTTTTACAAATTTTTTATAATCCTTCTATGAAATAACCTTTCAAAAAGGAGTTTGTCGTATGCTGTATTATACCTATTTATGCATAAATCGAAAGAATATATTAATTGCATTTTCATACCCACCAATTAATTTTTAACTATTTAATTTGATATCAAATAACGTAAGTAAATCAAAAAGGCTTTTATTTTGCTTCGGTGCATACAAACTATTGTTTTATTAAATAGTTCTAAAATTTAAAATATTTTTGAAAACAGTTAGCATATTAGGGTACCAATACGTAATAACATTCTAAAATTATCTTCATTTTTTTTTAACTACCAGACAACATATAAATACTCTCAGGCGAATAAAAATAACTCTACAGATAATATAATATATAGAGACTGATAAACTTCGCAAAATAATCCATAAACATTACATTTAATCAAATTATACTTTTTGTTAACTATTGGAAAGAAAATTTATGATTAGGTACAAGACTTCAATTATTTATGATTTGCATACATTTATATCTTTAAAAGATAATTTCTTTGTTTTGAATAATAATACATATATAATTCTCGAATTGATATAGATTTTAATGCTAATACTAAGCTTTTCAATAATTAAAACATAAATATTAGCTGTTTTATGAAAAGGAATAGAATATTGATTACAAATTACTTTTTCTAATCATTGGCAATCAATTTTAGATAGAGAGGTAGGTAATTATCCTTTGAACGCGTTCATTTTTGCCCTGTAGGTTTACGCTCTGAAATGTGCGAAACGTTTTTATATTCGGCAGTGAACGAATTTTGATGAGAAAAGTCAGGGAACGAAAAAGGAAAGTAACGCCATAATACAGGTTCAGTGCGAACGTCCTTGAACCAGTATTGATTGGTCCAGGATACAGCATCACTTTCCCCCAATAGTGCGTGCCCTGGAACCCCTCGCTAAGCAACCACCGCTTCCTCCCAAATTAAACTATTTTTTTTTTTCTCATCGCTCACTTGCGCAAGTTGGACAACACATTTTGAGTGGCAATCGTTTTTACGAGGGCCAATAACAAATAATCGGAGAGGGCAATGGCCCTCATTTAATGAATTAAAAAAATTATTCCTGTGCAAATTCGAGGAGCATCTAAGAGAGAAATAAAAAAAGAGAAAAGCTTGGTCGTGAATCACGGATGTTTGCAACAAGCTGGCTCGTAAAGAAGAAGAATGTTCGGAGGAAAGGGAACCGATGAAGATGGAAATAAAGGAGACGTTAATAGTGGAAGAAGACGTTGCTGCAGCGCAGCATCAGCGCGGGTACATGAAGTTCTTTATAAAAATCGTGCAGAACAAACCGTAAAAGTAGTAGCGCCTGAGAAGGGGTAAGAAAATAATGCAACGGCTTGCAAGCAGCAGTACGTCGGGTAGATAAGGGATGATGCACACACACACACTCACTTAACGGCGTGCATGGGTATGGGTTTTGCGACTGGATGTATGCATTTATTTATTTAGGTATTTTGCTTTTACAAAAGTACTTACTGATAAGTGACCCGTCGACCTTCAACACACAGAATTTTGCGACACGCGTGGACGACCAAGACTGGGTTCTTTTCCGAGGCCTACTAGAGGGATGCTGCGAACACGACGATAGATCCGGCGATGCCCGCGCACGCACTCCCTTTTAATTGATGTTTCTGTTGAGGAACACGACGACAATCAGCACTTCGACCTCCTACTCTTGTACATATACATACACACACGTACATGTATTTACAGGGTGCACCGCGGATTCAGACCTATACGCAATTAACTAATTATTTTTTACTCTTTACTTTTCCACCGATTTCGTAAGAAAAAAAGGTGTTCAATCTACTCAAGAAACGAATAATAGTGGACGATTATGATGCACCACATAAGTTGTTGTACACCGCATAATAACGATAGGACGACGGTGTTCGCTGCATGCTAACCTGCAAGGTCTCGACTGTGCACCACCCCCACGAGACCAAGAGCCGGTTGACCCACGAAGGTGTTTTGAAAAATCCGGTTTATTCCCAGTGCTGTCCGCGGTGCTATTATATGCCTACGAGGAGGCCAAGGCGGATTTTCCGAAGCAAAAAGACGGCTAACAAGCTCACATCAACTGCGCCCCACGAATAAAAAAGAATCGTCGTATAATCATAAATCATAGTCACCTATCATGTTTTTTGATCATAACTAGCGTAGTTTTTACAGTATCAAATTAAAATATTTAAATTTCAATGAAATTATTCACAAAATCTATTCTATTTTAGGTAATTATTTGTTGCTTTACAGTTTTAATTCGCATAAAAGAGTTGTTTAAGCGCTTTCTAATGTTTTAATAGGTTTCGTCCTTGTAACGGCCTTAATATACGTCATAAATGCTTAAGTGAAGAGCTGGGCATGTGACAGCCGCACCTCTGCAAGCGCGAGTGGATTACCATGATGTCAGCGTCAGTCCTAGCGCGACCGACCCATCTCCGAAAAGGGAAAATCAAATACGTATTTTGAAAACAAAATAGGGATAACCATTAAAAATTAAAGCAATTAGCTATCTATAATGAAAATTAATTAAAAGTAGTTATATAGATTTGGTTTTTAATTTATTTTAGAAGTTTAAGATTATTCGGAGGACTCAGTTGGTGTACGAACAAGTAAAAAAGATGGAGCAGGGCCGTAATCGCACAAAACACGAAGAAAACTTTTGTTAATAATCCTCGTAAAGTCGAGCGCAGTTTAAGTACTTTATAAAATGTCTTATGTCGGCGTTGGCCGTCCAAACGGTGAATTTTTACGAGTTTCGAAACGAATGCTACTCTACTACTAACATTAAATTTAGACAGTAAGTAAAGGATAATAAAGCTCACTATTTCCAACACATAAAACTACAGTTTGTTAATTCGAAATTTAGCACTGTGCTAAAATCATAATAGTATAAATAATTAAAAGTTTTAAAATTATTGGACCAAACGAAAAAATATCGACAACTTTTTTATTTTCTCTACTTTTGCGTAGTATCTTCATTTAAGATTTGAAATATTGCTTATTTCAAACAAAGAAAAACAGGAAAGACCCAAGCAGGTAAAAGAAATAAGCATAGTTCCTGCCACGCAAACAGCCCTCAACACGCACATCTGGCACCCCCAGGGGTTTTCTCCCCTAAAGTAAAGGATAGGGGACAACTAACATTTGGCGCTGTTTTGGAAGGATAATGCAACGACAGAACGTTCCCACGGCAAAGAATTGCAGACGATACATTATAGTTAAATCGTTAAATATTAGAGAAATCCAGTAAAATTGAACAAAACGTCAATTATTATAATGATTATTAATTTATTTATCATAAATTCCACAGTTACCTACCCATTGCCAATAGAGGTATTTATAATCAAAGTCTCTATTAAGGACGTAGTACCTACGATTGAGGTTTTTTTTAATGACTTTACAACGCTTTTATACCTTCTTTAGAACGAAAATATTTTAATGTTTAATCACAAAGAAGAAAAAGTCGTACCTACCTGAAGTTCAGCTTGAGACACGTCGATTTCCCCTTTGTATACGAATTCGATGATAAACTTTAAGTCTGCATAACAGACGTCCTGTGGCATTATGATAGTCGGATGTTTGCAGGGATTATCGAGCAGAAGCTTTTGAAAATAAGAAGAACAAGCAGACAAAACCACCTGAAACAAAAAGAGCAAATGCTGTGTTAGATTTTTTTAGATACAGTTTTAACAACAAAATCTGTGATGTTAGATGTGCAAGAAGATCAAACAAAACAATTTTTAACATTAGTGGTCATACAAGTCTCCTGCCAAATTACGAAATTGTATCATTCAACATACCTATACATATAATTTCAATAGTAATGTGAAAATTAATTTAATTTTTATATATTNTAATTATATTATAAATCAAACCCGGGACCCTTGACTTTGAATTTTCACATTAATATTGAATATTAACCACTATTAAAAGTTCCTTAAAGTATTTCATACAATCTTAGTTTCAAATTATGGGACACTTTGTGGTTTTAAATTGTAGAGAGTCAAAATACCTTTACTGTATCACACGGTAAATTTCTGATTTTTGTAAAATTTATTGAATAAAATACCTCTACTAATTTCGTTAAGAAAAGTTTAACTTTCTTTTATCTCTCTTTTCGTTTATAAAGGATCTCATACAAATACAAATATTTTGCATGATAAGAGCGTCTACGATGCGGCTAATAATAGATGACTTTATATCTTCATATTACCATAACAATCTTACTAAAAACACGTGTTTCAATTCATTCGCAATTAAAGTAGCTACCTATTACCTATAAGTGTTGAGGAGCAAAAAAAATAATTATCATTAAACTACAATTATTTACTAATTGGATTTAACGTGTTTTTGTTTTTATTATGGAATTGTACTGTTGATTTTATGAGACAATTCCGTTAAGTTTGGCTGTTACGGGCGACAGATTTTATTTTGTAATTCTATTGACCTTGCTGCTTGTATCAGATTAATTGGCTAGTTTTCTATAATTATATCCATTCAGGTATGTATAAATAGAAAGGAAAATTCAATAGACGCATGTAGACAAAAACATACGATTAACAGAATTATCTATTATAGGTGTTTGCACTCATCCAGTTATCTTTGAAGTACCTAATAATTTAATAATTACAAAAACTAGTTACAAGATTTGAAGAAATAAATTTGGGAATTTAAACAAATTCAGAATTTCAAAAAATAAAACGACTTTTTTCTGAAAATTGTTCTACGTCTCTGAATTCAGAATAAAGATGTCTCTTTTTAGGAAAATTTGGTTTTCCTGATAAATGATTAAGTTTTAATCACAATATAGTGTGAATTAAGTACATGTAAATCAACAGCAGACATTTAATTGGTTTTTTATTGCTTACCTATTTGAGAAAATTAACAATTCCGTTTTGTGAAGATTTCTATCATACTCTCCTTTCAGTAAAAGGTAAACAATCGATGCCAAAAATAATTTTGTAACAAAAAATATCGGGGTTGAGGTTGATGTAGGTGTTATATTTATTATTATTATTAT